TTTGTATAAAAACTAGAGCTAGACACACCCACCTGCGTCCCCTGCAGTGGGATTCAGTTAGCCTAGAAATGTAGAATCGGATGGGGGTCTCAGTGAGGATCCGACCCAACATTCCTGTTGCAAAGAAGAAGAAACTAAACACAGTTCATTCATTCATTCCTTTATTGCATTTTACTGAGTATCTGCGATGTGACAAATATCTCTATGCTTGGCAGGAGGCAGAGCGGTCAGACGAGAAGGGCGCACGGTGTGGCTGGTTCAGCTGTGCTCCCTGAAAGGAGCCTGTCCTTTCTGCTCGGCCTCAGGTTCGTGAGGCCCTGTAATGCCAGGCATGGTGCCAGTCTCCTCCAGCTAGCTGTTCTCCACACTGGCTTGCGCCTGACCCCAAGCGAGGCTTGTGCAGCTGGCGACAGGGGCCTGTGCTAAAGGGCTCGAGGCGGATTCAGGTGCCTGGGCTCTGGGTCTAGCCTGATCACACGCTTTGAACTCGGTCAAGCCCCCACCCATCCCTTAGTCTTCAAAACAGAAAGATCCTGGGGCGCCTGGGGGGCTCAGTCGGTTGAGCGTCTGACTTCAGCTCAGGTTCATGATCTCGTGGTTCATGGGTTCAAGCCCCGCGTTGGGCTCTGTGCTGACAGCCAGCTCAGAGCCTGGAGCCTGCTTCAGATTCTGTGTCTCCCTCTCTCTCTGACCCTCCCCTGCTCACGCTGTCTCTCCCTCTCAGAAATAAATAAAACATTAAACAACAACAACAACAACGACAAACCCAGAAAGATCCTGCCACTTGACCTCTAAGTTTCGGCCTATTCTAACCTTCTAATCAGTGGCTCTCAAACGTTGACATGCATCGGAACTACCCGGAAGGCAGGTTAAAACCCAGACGGCTGGGCCTTGCCTCAGACCTTCAGATTCCGTGGCTCTGGGGTGGGACCTGTATTTCTAACAAGTTGTAGATAGTGCTAATGCTGCTGGGCCAGACCTCATACTTTGAGAACCACCGCTCTACCGCTGAGCAAATCTGGCCGCAGATCAGAATCACTTCGGAGAGCTCTAAACTGTGGCTATCAGGCCCCACACCAGAGCCGTTAAATCAGCACCTCTGAGCGGGAGGTGTTAACATGTAAACCTCTCTCAGGGTGATTTTTATGCTTCACTAGGATAGAAACCACTGTTCTAGAAAAGCAGCCAGAGATGTGACAGGACATTGGGCAAACACATTATTTCCCTTTGGAGAAATGTCGCTCAGATCTGAGCCCAGCCTCCCATTAGCTGCCTCCCCAAGCCTCAGTTTCCCCTTCCGTGAGCAGGGCTCTTAGGAGGACTAAATGAAACTGCCTCGATGTGTCTGCCCTCTCCTTGCTCTTGTTTCCAAGGGGAGCTTGAGCACTGCTTCTGCTCTGAGGCTGTTGAACTGAGCACAATTCAATAAGCATTTAAAACCTCACAACGTGTAAGGCGCTGCCCTTAATGATGTGGGAAGACAAAAATGGATCAGGCTCCATCCCCACTCCAAGCAGCTCACATGCTAATGGGGATGATGAGGCATGTGTTCAAAATGTAAGGCAGGATGTGACACAGGCCATGAAGGAAGCGACTATGATGAAGGCTTCCGTATGCATTGTATGCGAGGCACTTTACAGTATATTTTAATCCTCCTAGCAACCCATATGGTAGGAACTGTAACACCCACTTTACAGATAAGGAAACTGAGGCTTAAAGGAATGGTCAGTTACCTACCGTGCAAGAGCCATTTTTTTTTTCCCCTGCAGGATCCGAGAGGAAGATGACCTTCACACAGTTAGAAAGGTTAAGAAGCTCTTGTGGAGGGCGCTCAAAGCGAGTGCTCTGAAGGACGTGTAGCAGTTCACGGGGTAAAGAGAGAAAAAGTTATCCCCGATAGAGGGATCGAGGGATCGATATACACAAAGGCCTGGGGGATGGAAGTCCCGGCTTCTTAAGGGACCTAGAAGTGGTCTGATTTAGTCGCAATGCAGGCTGACGGGGGGACCTGATGGGAACTAGATCCTGCTCGGAGGCTTCATACGCTGAAGAGTTTAGATTTTGTGTCTCCAGCCCTGGGGAGCCATTGACAATTCTTGAGCAGGGGGTGGCATTTTTGGGAAAAAGATTAAAGTGGTCCTGGGGTATGGGGGGCGGTGGCAGGGAGCCCAGGAAGGAGGGAGACGGCTCCAAGTGGTCCACGCGAGATGGTGAGGCAAGTGGATACACAGGGAAGTGTGCTGTCACCGCATGAAGCGTCTTTGAGGATCGACCCCCTACATGCACCTGCTTATTGACTGAGCCGTTCTGCGCTTGAGGAGGGGCTGGGGTAGCCGGGAGCGGGTGGGTCTCCTGCGGCTGCATGTGCAGCAACCCTCAAATTATGGTCCATGGAGCATGGCCTGCTCAGAGTGGAGGACTGGGCTGAAGGCGCGGCTCCGAGCTAGCCGCCTGCCACATTTCCTGCGCAAGAGTGGGAGAGAGCCCACCCCATGGCCTGAGTGCTTCTGACCCCAGCCTTCCAGGTGACGCATGACACCCTGCCCCCTTCCCGCTGCCGAGCTCACAGCCAGCTCAAGGCTCACAGCCTCTGTGTGGAGCTGAGCACAAACCCTCCTGGGCGGAAGCCAGTTCCTAGAAGCAAAGTCTGGATGTGGAATGAGTGCTGGGCTTGGATCCTGCCACTTGCTGGCTGGGTGACCTTGGGCACATCCCTTAGTCCTAGCCTAGACTTCACATCCTCTGTTTAAACACAATAATGTAATGCATGTGCCGCACTCTTCACTAGTCCCTCCTCCTTCACCTGCCCCATCTTCTCTAACTGATGGCCCTAGAGAACCTCAAGACCACAGGGACAAGCAGAGCAAGCCACTTTCAATAAGCAAAGTCCAAGACGATTTTAGCGTTTTTGTCATTCAGTGGACCTGGCATATCATACCCATTTTATAGGTGACACAACAGGCTCAGAGGAAAGCACAAGCCGAATTTCTTTAGCTGAGTACCCCTGAGCCAGTAAGCAACCTGCACAACCATACAGGGCAACCCCTTGTGACCCCATCTAGTCCTTGAAGAATGACTAGTCATGGAAACAGGACTGGCCGGGGACCAAATATTTGAGGGGCTGCAGAGGCAGGACTTGAATGCTAGTCTCTCACCCAGGGGAGCTGGACCCTCAGTTTAGTGCCCTCCGACCCTCCACCGCCAGACCTATCGTCTCACCTCATGGCGGAGGGAAGATTGGCAGACATCCCGCCAGGTCCAGGATTCCCAAGTGATGCACAGTTCTCTCGCTGCTAAGAAAATATGTTTTGATAGACAGCGTTGTGTCTCTTCAACGCATCATCACGCAGTGAGAACATTCTCTTTACAGCCTCCTGAAAGCCTGAAGGAAGAGGTTCCACTGGGTGTTGATAGGTCGTTAACACCTCTCCAAACTTTGCCAATCTTCCTTTTCCACTGAGGGCACATCTCAAGCCTTAGTATGCCAGTTTCCAGCTAGAATTTAATAACCTTGGTTTGTTTTGATTGTGTTTATTTTTATTCTTACCTTCTATTTTTGGCAAGTGATACTGGCTTCCCATTTAAGGCAGTGATAGAACGATTCTCTAAAAAACATGTGTTGGGGGAGAGTGGGTCTTGGATTTAAGAAAAGAGTAAGTAATAAGTGGCGTAGAGAAATGACACCCTGAGGATGATTGACGTCTGCCCTAGTTCAAGGCGGGGAGAAAGGAGCGGAGGGACGCGCTGCCCCAGGCACCCGGCTCATCCCCGCAGGGCTCTCTCTACAGTGCTCTCCCAGACCTGCACGCGCAGACCTCCACTCTGGCGCGCGAGGCCAAGGTGACTCCGCGGCTCCTCTGGGCGGCACGCGCGGGTCCACGAGCCACCCCGCAAGGTCCCGCGGGGCCCGAGATCTTGGGCGTGAGGTGGCGGCGGCTCGGGGCGGGCGGGCTGGGCACCCGGCAGAGCACCTGGGCATTTCCGCGATGGAGGAGGGCGCCGGAGTCCTGGAGCGCGGGCGGGGGACCCCGGGCGGCTGGCGGCGGGACCCTCGCGGGTCACCTGCGGCCCGCGCGGTGTGCGTGTGAATGCGCGCGCAGACATCAGCTTCGGAGGCCGATGCCGCCTTCCGGTCACGGTGCGCGTCCCCGGCCGCCTCATCAGCGGCCCCGGCCCCACGCGCCCGGGCACGCGGAGCGCCAGACTGCGGCGCGCTGGGCGGCCGCGGGCGGGGCGGGCGGGGCGGGGCCCGGCCGCGGGACCCGCCGCCCATTGGCCGAGCGCTGTGCCGGGGGCGGGGCGCCGGGAAGGCGGGCGCGCGGGCTCCGGCAGGCCGAGGCGGGCTCGGGGCTGCTGCACTGGCTGCTCGCGGGCCGCGGCGGGGGCGGGCGGACCCGGAGCGGAGGATCCGCGGAGGGACGCTCGCAGGCGCGGCGGAGAGCACCCCGGCCTGACCTGGGCTTCTGCCGCTGGGTCTGCCCCCGCGAGTCCCGGCTGCGACCGCTTTCCGGGGGTGAGGGGGCATTGACCTCGCCCTGCGGGGGAGAGGGGGGTTCGCCTCCCGGAGTGGGAGGGAGGAGCTAGAGCCCGCAGAAAGTTCGCCTCCTCTGGGGGGCCACAGGAGGTGAAGTGGGAGGAGGAGCGGGTTTAAGGCTAACTACGTGCAAGAATCTTGGGGCGGCGTTCAAGGCCCCCTCCCACACGCGTGCGGAGCTGAGCTCCCTGCTCCTCCTCCAGCTGCTGGCGTAGCCTCGCCGGGAGAAAGCCTCGCCGTTCCTCTGGCTCCGGGAGAGCTGCAGAGCTGCAGGCAGAGGAGGAGGCCGCGGCGAGACGGGCAGCACCCCGAAGCCGAGCGCACGCCTTTGGCGCGCGGGCGGAAAAGGTGGCATAGGCGGCCAGCACAGGTTCGCCCACTCGGGACACGCACACACGCACGCACCCACAGGTGCCGCCAAAGGACCCTCCAGGAGTCTCTAAGGACCCTCTTTAAGCCCCAGAGTCGCCCCTACCGCCCTCCCCCAGCCCCGGAGACCTCGGCGGGGACCCCGGGCTCGGACGTCCCCGCGCCTCCGGGCACCTGGCTCAGCAGGAGTCCCCCGGGTCGGGGCAGGGCGGGGCCGGCAGCGGCGAGCCCGAGCCCGCCCGGCGCCCAGGCCCCTCGGAGCCCTCAGAACCCACCCATGGGGTACCGGCTCCCCGCGTCTCCTCGCCCGGCCGCGCCCAGCTCGGCGCCCCGAGCCGCGCAGAGGAGGAGCCCGGCGCAGTGACCCGGGAGCCGCTGCAGACTCCGGAAGCCTCGGCGGCGGCGGTGGCGGCGGCGGCCGCGGAGGCAGGCGGTTCCCCGCACCTCCGGGCTCTTCCAGGCAGCCCTCCAAGCTGTGCCAGAGGCCCGGCTGGCCATTCTCAGGTAGGAGAGAGACTCCAGCAGGACCGAGGAGCTGGCTGATTGGGGGGGAGGGGGGGGAGCCAGGAAGAGAGGGTTGAGTCTTGTGGGAGGGGGACGAGAGGAAGCTTTACAGGACTAGGGAAAGTTAAACTGATTGAGCACCTCCTGTGTGCTGGCATCATAGGCAACTTTACGCATCTAGAGAAAACGAGACTTGTTGAGCACCTGCTCTGTGTCAGGCTGAGTGCTAGGCCCTTAGTTGTCCCTGGGAGGAAAGACTTACTAAGCTGCTACTATGAGCTAGATGTGTTGCTGGAAGCCTTCCGTTTAAGCAACTTAGAGCAATAGCCACTTAAATAGGACACTGAGGCTCAGGGAGGAAGAGGCACTTACCTTCCCCAAAAGCTCCCTCCCTCTTCCTGAGCTGGCTGCTACCTGTGTACCAGGATGGAGCTCCTTGGTGGCCCACCCCCAGCCCTGGGCAGGACTTCCTTTGAGGAGGGAAGATCAAGAAACACCTTCCTTGTTCAGCATTTCTTGAGCTTTTTTTTTTTTTTTTGGGGGGGGTGTGTGTGTGCCAGGAGTGAGTTTCCTGAGTGATTCTTTTCCCTGGAAATGTGTCCCACATTCAGCGGGCCCGAGGGCCTCCAAGTGCCTTTGAGGGGCTCTCTCTTGTCGTTTGGCCCCCCTTCCTTGGAGGATGACAAAGGATGTTCTGGATTCCTGGCAGGTAGGAGACCGGGCTGGGAAGGGGCAGCCAGCTCAGGAGCCCATGATTCAGGCTTACCCTGGCGTCACAGCGACAAGGCGGGGTCCCTAAGACCTCTGCCTGCGTTCCAGCCCTACCCCACCTGGCTGTTCCCGGTGGCCCCTGGGATGCCTAGAGGAGGTGCCTCAAAGGAACCCACTTGTCCGACGCTCTATTAGCCTCTCGACTTCTCCCTAAAAGATCCTGGCCACACTACGGGTTTGTTTCTTCATATCCAGCTAATAGGTGACCGGTCCCACCAGCCCAAACCATTTGCTGAGCTGCTGAGAGGCAAGGCTGGTCTGCGGGAAGCTGGTGGGGGGCTGCCACGGGGGGTGGGGCTGGCTTCGCACCGCAAAGCCCCCCGGGACACCCCTCCGTGTGGGGACAGGAGCCAGTGGATAATGTATATGGTCAGAGAGGCTGGCCTGCGCGCTAACGGAGGAGCTGGAGGTGTGTGTGTGTGGGGGGGGACAATCGTTCTGGGATCAAGCTCCGGGGTAGCCACGGGGAGAAGGACATGTCCGGACTCCTGTCATGATATCCTTGTCCATCTGATCCTTTCCATCTTCCCGGCGGGCCCTGAGGGAGGGGTTTGGGGGAGAGGAAGAGGGTGAACCCCCAGATGTGTTTGCTAGGAGCTGGCTGGGCAGGGTTTAAGGGTGAGTCCTGGGCAGGATACCCATCCCCCCAGCTGTCTGTAGGGAGAGAGAGGGATGAGAATATAATAGGCCTCAGGGGTCATTCCCCCGCCTGATGCCAGCTAGGGCATCGCTGAGTCAGGCACTGTTTGAGAAAGACTGGATTTGGCCAGGGGGTAGGTTTTTATGGAGATAAGAGCCCAGGCTTCAGAGCCCATCAGCCTAATTCTAATCCCGGCCTGGCCTGTAATCTGTGTGGACTGGGGCAAATGACTGAGCCGTGCCCCCACCCCCTCCCCCCTGGTGTGCCCATCAGTTAGTGGACTAATGCTGGTCCGCTTTTCATGGGACTGTTGTGAGTCTTTGGAACAAGAAACACAAAGTGGCCAGCAAGATGGGAGCCCACCTGGCTGTCCATCCCCACCCCCTACCCCAGGTGCCCTTTGAATGGCCCCAGGCTGGGGTCAGCTGAGACACCCAGAACTTGCATTTGGGTTCTTGTGCTGCTAGCGGCCCCCATTAACCGCTCTCTGAGCCTCCAGCCTCTAAATTCTCAAAGGGCCCTTTGCTCTCTGATGCCCACCTGCTCCTCACTGTGTGGGGACGGCCTGGCTGAGATGCAGGGAGAGAGCAGGCAGCCGAGGAGAGGAGCCATGCCCACAGCTGCCCACAGCGCCTGGGGGTGGGGTGGGGAGGAGAGGGAGGGAAGATGCGGGGGCGGGAGGTGGAGCCCGGGGATCGCTGTCACCTGGCGTCCAGGTGTCTGGGTACCTCACACAGCCCCACGTGGCTGAGGCCATGTGAAGCCTTCTCTCAGAGAAGAAAGCCACATTTCCCTCTCCTTGCCTCTTTCTGACGCCCTGTCTCCTCCCTGACTCTCTGCCTCGAGGTCCATCCAGGCACTGATATTAGCACATCTGTACCAGGACCCCCCCTCCCCCCTCCCCCCACCTAGAGGCTGGGTTGGGTAGGCGGTGATGGAGAGGAACATTGTCCCTGGGAGCTGCTGGCCTCCCTCCCTGTCTGTCTAGACAGACGTGATCACCAGCAGAGTCAAGCTCCCCGCAGACAGGCTGGGGAGGGGGCTTTCGTGGTGCGGGGCCTCTTTCCCCCCAACTCTGCTGAAGGCCCAGGCTGCCTCGCCCAGCACAGCACCTGGGCCAGCCAGGTCAGGGGAGGAAGAGGAGGAGGCCTCGGAAGGAGGCTTCGGGTGAGCTCCAGAGGCAGACTCCCTTGCTTCATTCATTCATGGCTCATTTATTGAGCACTTGCTGTATACGTGGCACCGAACCCCTGTGGGGTAAATGGAAGAGGGCTGCAGGCATGAATTGGGGGGCGGAGGAGGAGGGAGTCCCTGTCCTGACGACCTCATTAACGACAGAGGCCAGTCATGTAGCCTTTGAAGTATCAGGGTCCTTATGTGTGAAATGGGCAGATAATATCTTCCCCGGGAGGAGGTGGGGAGGAGACCCTGTTGTGCGGCTCGCTGCCTGGGGTCAGATCTCTCCTTTGCCGGTTACTGGCTGTGTGACCATGAGCAAGTTAACTCAACTTCTCTGTGCCTCAGTAACTTCCCCTTCGAACTGGGGTGACGCCACCTACCTTCTGGGGTTACTGAGGGACGGAGCGACTTAGTACACGCTCAGCACTTAGCACCTGGTGGCCCATGTTGACTGCAAAGTAAATGTCAGCTACCTTTATTGTTCTATACTTAGCACGGTACCTGGCACACGGCAGGGGCTCAGTTAATGGTGATTGTCAGGGCTGAGGGGGCTCAGGGTCAGTGGTGTGCGGGCTTATTGTGTGTGCCTCTTTGCAATTCATTATTTGACACCCTCTTGGTAACTTGGAATTGGCCGGCGGGTGGGAATGTGTATGCCATAGAGATCGACAAACGCTGCCAGTAAGAGCGTTTTAAAAAGATATTTTTGAGAGCTGGTTTACTGCACGGCGCCTCTCAGTTGGGCTCCAGTCTCAGCAGAATGGCAGAAGTAGAGCCCGATGACGTTGGAGAGAGCCTTGGGGTGAGTGGTTGCAGCATCCTAGGCTACTGAGCTGGGGCAGCCAGAGGTGGGGGCCACGGGGAACTAGCATGTACAGGTCCCTGCGCACACGGGGAAAAAAAGGTGCCTTCTCTGGGCAGATGAACCCCGCAAAGACAGCCCCCCACGCTCCCACCCAGCGGGGTGCCTTGTGCAGCGCCCAGCCTGCACAACCATGTGTGGCAGCGGCTGAGGGCAGAAGGGATCGATAGTCCAGCAGGCCTGTGTCAGTTTCTAGTTCCTAGAGAGGGGAGGGATTCCTGCCGGGGTGGGGTGGGGAGCGAGAAGCCTTCTGAGAGGAGGTGGTGTTTGAGCCAGACCCTGCGATGTAAAGAGAAGAGGGTGTTCTGGCAGAGGGACGAACACGAGCTTAGAAGTGGAGGCAGATCTCCGCAGAGCTCCAAGAGAGTGATGGGCTCGGGGATTCTAAGGGGATTCCGGTGGGTGCTGACATAGGAAAGGAGGGTGGCGGGGGCTGGGACTGGCCTTTGGGGTGGGCCTGGGGAGTTATTTATCTTCCATTTGGATCCTGGAGTGAGGGTCCAGTTCAGCCTCTTCCACAAGGCCAAGAAGCTCCCACAGAAAGTTCTGGGTAGCCCTTGCAGCTCTGAAGGACTTGAGCTGTTCCCGGGTCGTTTCTCTGGCCCACATCCCCTAGTCCAGATCTCTGGGTCTCCTGGCAGTAAGCAAATTCCCAGGGCCTGGGGGTGAGGGCGCTGGGCCCTGGGTGGGTGGGGAGGATGTGGTCTGGACGTGGCCTTTTCCCAGTTTCTGGGAAGGCTGAAAGGCCACAGCCTGCAGTGCCCAAGAAATGCTCTCTAGCGCCTCCTTTAGGCCATGCCCTGGAGTCCCAGCCCGCGGGAGGCCAGGGTTGGAAAGATTAGAAGGACCAGAGAGAGATCAGCTTCTAGCAGGAGTTAGTTAACATTTTGCGACCTTAGCATGTGCAACAGCCCTGTGAGTGGAGTCCCTTCTATAGCTGAGAGAAAAAGGAACTTCCAGAGAACTTTGGCTACTTGCGGTAAAGTGAGGAGTCAGGCCCCTGCGGTTCTGGGAAGGAATCAACAAAGGGTGAATGGCCGCAGGGGCGAACGAGTGAAGGGGGTGCGTGCGTGATGGGGGTGGCTGAGGAGGAAGGGGGCCGCAGGGGGCACGAATGGACGAGCTGGCAGAGCCGCAAGACCCCTCGGGGACATCCTGGTCTAACGCCCCCATCTTACAGGCGGAGAACGGACGCCCAGACAGGAGCCACGCGGAGGAGGCCAAGGCCGCCAGCAAGAGGCTGCAGGGTCGGGTCCAGGGCCTGCTGGCGTCCGCTCCCCGCTCAGCGCCGCAGCCCCGAGCCATGATGAAGACCCTGTCCAGCGGGAACTGCACACTCAGTGTGCCCGCCAAGAACTCGTACCGCATGGTGGTGCTGGGCGCCTCGCGGGTGGGCAAGAGCTCTATTGTCTCCCGGTTCCTCAACGGCCGCTTCGACGACCAGTACACGCCCACCATCGAGGACTTCCACCGGAAGGTCTACAACATCCGAGGCGACATGTACCAGCTGGACATCCTGGACACGTCCGGCAACCACCCCTTCCCTGCCATGCGCAGGCTGTCCATCCTCACAGGTGGGTGCCTGGGGTGGGCGGGCGCCCTCGGCACTGGGCAGTGTGCACACTGCACGCTTTGCGTACCCGTCGTCGGAAGTCAAGCTCACGGCCAGCCCCCTTGTGAGCCTGGGAGGGTCAGAGGGGTGCTGCCGGGCAAGTGGTCAAGCCGGGGCCCAGATTCCTCTGTCTGGCCGTGGATGGAGTACTCGTGACTCGTGCTGCCTTCCAGGTCAGGAGCGGACACAGGCACTGGGGGGGAGTTCTTCTCCAGGGACCCGAGGGGCCACTGCCTTACTCCTGCGGGAGGTGGCCCAGCAGAGCTCCGGGGACCGTGGTCAGACTGCTGAGCTCAGGTCCCTTGACATCCCAGGCCTTTGCTGCCTCTCGGAGCGGTAAGGGCAGGCCCCGGGCACTGGTCAGTCAGCGTGATGCCCGGAGCTCAGTAATAGTCACAGGATCGGTGGTGGCAGGAGCCAAGGCTTACGGAGACCTGTGTGCCTGGGGCTGTCCCTCGAGGTCAGCGTGGGTTTGTTTAATCCTCACAACCAACCTAGGAGATGGCTCTTTTACACTTTACAAATGGGAAAACCGGGGCCCAGAGAGGGTAAGCTACTCCAGGTGGTAACACAGGTGGTCTGGGGCAGCCTGGTGCTTATTCCCTATGCTTAAACTGTCCGGGAGTCTGCCGGCCCTGCTGGGGACGCTGGAGAGGAAGGGAGATTGTCGGGGATGCAGGGGGGCAGGTGGAGAGGTGGGACCCGGCCAGCGCTGCATTACTAAGGCGGTTTCATGTGGTGGCCAAGAGGGTGGGCACTTCCTGGCTTTATACCTCTGGGCAAGCAACTTTCTCTCTTTGTGCCTCCGTTTTCTGTCTGTACGAGTATCACATCAGCACCCACCCCACAGGCCACTGTGGGAATTAAGTGAGTTAATACGGCGAATGTACTTGGTGAACAGATAGTAAGTGCTCAGTAAACAATGATGGTAACCCAGCATTTAGAGAGTGCCTGCTACGGGCTACACAGTCATTTCCTTTTCTTTTAAAAAAATTTAAATGTTTATTTTCGAGAGAGAGACCGAGCATGAGTGGGGGAGGGGCAGAGAGAGAGGGAGACACAGAATCCGAAGCAGGATCCAGGCTCCAAGCTGTCAGCACGGAGGTGGACATGGGCCCCGAACTCATGAACCGCGAGATCATGACTGGAGCGGAAGTCGGACGCTCAACCGACTGAGCCACCCAGGTGCCCCAGTGCAGCCATTTCCTAAGCATCCTTCTCCCATTTCTGGGCAGTGATGAAGGGAAGGAATGAGCAAGTACCTCTGCAGCCATCACTAAAATAGCCCTCCAAATGGAGATGTTTTTGTACCAAGAAACTGCTGCCATGCACACCCTCCCCTACACCCTGGCCACGCACCCTCCTTGAGCACCCTGGGCGGAGCCTTCTTCTTGCGGTCTGTCCTTGCCCACCGGCTGGCCCAGATCGCACTCCACCCCCACCCCATGTTTCGGAGAGGCAGTGTGTGGATGGAGGGAGCCCTGGGTTGGCCTGGATTCCAGTCCTCGCTCCACTATGGATTAGATATGTGACCCGGGCTCTGATTCTCCGTCTCCCTGGCTGCACAATGGACATAAACTTGCTTCCCCCCCAGGGTGGCTGTGGGGACTGAAGGAAGGCACTGGGGGCACTTCCAGCACATGGTGGGTATTACAGGGAGGTCAGCTCTCCTTGCCTTGGGGAGGGGACTGGATGCCCACTGATGTCAACAAGACTAACATCAGAGGGAAGGAGAGACATGTGAGGCAGGACGACCTGTGTGTTTCCAAAATCAATCTTTAGTTACACAATAGTATGCAAACACACCCTCCTATAAACCCAAATAAGGCTAAAAAGCCCCCTTGACCTGTGTCCCCAACTCCAGGCTCCTGTCCCCTCCCTGGAGTGGCCCACCCCCTCAGTCTGCTGGGGACTCTTCTGGACCCACCGTGAACACACTGACCTTTACATTTGTATCCTCTTTGTAACAGGGAGTATTTTCGCCCGTCTCTTTTTAACGCACACTTATCATTCGGAACACATCTGTCTGCTGCTTGCTTTTTTCACTCACCAGCTCGTGCCTCATTTTCCAACCTGGTGCTGGTGCAGAAGGAAACTCTGAAAGCCATTAATTCTGCCGCCAGCTCTCTTTCCAGCTGCCAGCCAGGCTGTCTCTAAAGCTTGGCATCGCGGTCTTGCATTTGAATATGTCAAGGCCGCTGAGTCCTCAGGGGCCCAGGATTAGCCTAATGGGACGGGGTTGGCAGCCCAGGCGGAAATGGCTGCCAGGCTTGGGGCTGCCTTTTGCAAGCACCTCTCTAAACAGCCCATCACCCCCGTTCCTTCCATCCCGTCCCGCCCCTTCACCCAGCTTTATGGACCCCTACTGTGTGCGGGGCCCTGAGGAACGAGGACCCAGGTGACACTGTCTCCCTCTGCTCTAGAGCTCATGGTGAAGGGCATACCATTAGCCGGAGCATGATCCCAAATGTGACATGCGCTATTATGGGGGGACAAATGCTGTGCCCTGGAGGTCCACAGGAAGGAGGCAGCTTCCAGAAGGAAGAGGGGTTGGATACCAGATCCCGGGCCAGTCACTGACACCCCTGAGCCTCGGTTTCCTCATCTGGGAAACAGGGATTTTGGCATCTCCTCATGGATTCTTACGAATTGAAGCCAAAGTTCAGAGAAGGTGCTTTGGGTGTGAGCTTGTGACCCCTGTAGTAAGTTCTGGAAATTGGCACGCGAGCACTGCCATGCCCTCTCCCGGCCACCCTGGCCACCTCCGAATTGCCTTTTTCAGACCCAGGGACCCATCCTGAGTGATGCAGTGAGTGGAAATAGGGATCACGTAGTCTTGGAGGCTACTGCTCATTCGTCCGTGATTTATTCAGGAAGCGGGGAGCACCTGCGTGTGCCAGGCACTGGCTGGGTGAGACAGAAGCAGGTCCAAATCGTGGCCTGGCCACGTTCGTGCTGTGCCATCTTGGGCCTTTTCTGAGCCTCCCTTTGCTCACCTACACCGGGAAGGTAACCAAACTCTCACAATCCGTGACAGAGGTCTTGTGAGAGTCGGGGAGGAACCCATGCTGGCGCGTCCTCACTGCCATGTCCATACCTAAGACCTCCACTCATTATCCCGTGAAAAACCCTCACGGGAGGCTGAGTTTCCTCCACGTGGGACAGATGGGGAAATGAAGGTTCAGGGAGGTGGCGGGACCTGCTTAGGGCCATGGGGTCAGGATATAAACCCTGGCCTGACTGATGCCTGTGCTCTGGGTTCCCATGATGTGTCAGGCGCTATCCAGGCCCTCGGGATGTGCACTGAACAAGTCGTGCAAGACCCCTACTGTCATGGGAATTGTACTTATTATTATTATTTTTTTTAATATTTTTTTTTATTTCTAGGAGAAAGAGAGAGCGTGAGCAGGGGAGGGTCAGAGAGAGAGGGAAACACAGACTGAAACAGGCTCCAGGCTCTGAGCTGGCAGTCAGCACAGAGCCCGACGCGGGGCTCGAACCCACGAACCGCGAGATCATGACCTAAGCGAAAGTCTGACACTTAACCGACTAAGCCACCCAGGCGCCCCATGTACTTATTATTATTACTCTAACACAGTCGGCCCAAATTCACAAGCCACTCAACCCATCGCCAGCTCTGCAGGGACCCGCAGGGGGAGTTAACTGCCTTTGAGCCGGGCTGTGCCACCCATTAGCTATGTGCCCTTGAACAAGGGCTTTAACCCTCTGGGCCTCTGCCTCCTGCTCTGAAAAATGGGGAGAAGAGTGACCCCCCCATAGACTCACTGGGAGGGCGGAGTCAGTGAGGGGAGGGGTGGTCGGGGGTGGGGCGGGGGGTCGGTCTCACCTCCCTGGGTCCCTCTCCCTGCAGGTGACGTCTTCATCCTGGTCTTCAGCCTGGATAACCGGGAGTCCTTCGATGAGGTCAAGCGCCTCCAGAAGCAGATTCTGGAGGTCAAGTCCTGCCTGAAGAACAAGACCAAGGAGGCGGCCGAGCTGCCCATGGTCATCTGTGGCAACAAGAACGACCACGGCGAGCTGTGCCGCCAGGTGCCCGCCACCGAGGCCGAGCTGCTGGTGTCGGGGGACGAGAACTGTGCCTACTTCGAGGTGTCGGCCAAGAAGAACACCAACGTGGACGAGATGTTCTACGTGCTCTTCAGCATGGCCAAGCTACCCCACGAGATGAGCCCCGCGCTGCACCGCAAGATCTCCGTGCAGTATGGCGACGCCTTCCACCCCAGGCCCTTCTGCATGCGTCGCGTCAAGGACATGGACGCCTACGGCATGGTCTCGCCCTTTGCCCGCCGCCCCAGCGTCAACAGTGACCTCAAGTACATCAAGGCCAAGGTCCTTCGGGAGGGCCAGGCCCGTGAGCGGGATAAATGCACCATCCAGTGAGCGGGAGGGACACCGGGGTGGGGGCCTGGGCGGTGCCTTACGGGAGGTGGCCCCATGTGCACACTGCCCACGCCCCCCGCCCCCCTACCCGCCGAGACCCCAGGGGCAGCCGAGTTCGAAGGCCTCTGGCTCCAGACCGGGGCACCCCAGCCTCTGACCTCCGTGTGTTCTACCTTCCCGCCACTTCCCTCGGATTCTGCTTTTCTGAGGTGCCCCCCCCCCTCCATTTGCGCTTTTAGCTCCTCCTCGCAGGGGCAGGTCCCTGCAGGGCTGGGAACAAGGGAGGGAGACATACGGACTTGTGCCGGCCCCCAAGTCAGAGCCCTCCTGCCCTGGGTGTCGGAGGAAACACTGATGCCGGAGGAGCCAGAATCCCTACATGAACGGAGCCTCCTGGAACAGACACGGGTGCAAACGACTCCCGGGGTCTCCGCTGGGCTGGTTGAGACCCCAGACTCTGCCCTCTCCGCCTCAGCTCTTTGGGCCCCTGCCCGTCCAAGATGTCCCGGGCGCTGAGCCGGTGGCGGCTGTGTGTTTGAAGAGGGGCGTGGCCACGCCTCCCGGACCACGGCCGCCGCGTGGACTTCTCCGCCATCTTTGTCGTGGATCCCTCGTCTCCTGGTGTGTGTTGTTGCTGCCGTTGTTCTGTTGCGTGTAGCTGTAGAAGCGGAAATCGTACTGTAAAAGCTACTGGCACCTCGTTGGCCAGACGCCCCTGCCCACGTTAGACCCGTGGCCTCTGCTGCGGACGCCTTCCTCCCCCTTCCCAGACAGGGTTCCCTTGGCCTGCCTGCAGCCGGACACTGCCCTCGGTAATGAGCTTCACGGTTTTAACACTTGCACGGGGCAGGGGTGGGGCAGGCTGGGGCTGCTTCTCCTCCTGTCCCCGTTGTGTGGTCGAGGCAGCTGATTCTGGGGGAAGGGGAGGTGACACGTTCCAGCACACTCCTTCCCCCCCCTCCGCCCCCGCTTCACCTCGTTCAGGGCAGGGCTCTGCCTAGAACCATGCCGTCTTCTACTGTGCTGGTTCCTCAAGCATTTATTGAGCACCTGCTGGGTGCCGGGTCCACTGTGTGCTAGGAAACAAAGAGAGTGAGCAGTGCACTTTATGACCCCCAGGCCAGGCCCTTCCCCAGCCTGGGGCTGTTCCCCTTCACCCGCATGGCCTGCACCCACCTCTGCTGCCCCTCTGTCTCATGCACCTGGAGCTTTGGGGGGTGGGGGGGAGGGCTGCAGGTGCAGCTGGGAGCCAGAGCCGAGCCCAGAGAGGTAGGTGGGAAAGTCCCTCGTGTGTGGCGTGGGACTGCTGTGTACTGGGTGTGACAGGAGTTGGGCCCCTTGACCAAAGGCCTTGTCATCAGCTCTTAACAAACACATTTCATATCTTAACCTCCTTTAAAATACTGAGATTTAGGGGCGCCTGGGTGGCTTAGTCGGTTAAGCGTCCGACTTTCGCTTAGGTCATGATCTTGCGGTTCGTGGGTTCGAGCCCCGCGTCGGGCTCTGTGCTGACTGCCAGCTCAGAGCCTGGAGCCTGTTTCAGAGTCTGTGTCTCCCTCTCTCTCTGACCCTCCCCTACTCACACTGTCTCTCTCTCTCTCCTAGAAATAAATAAAAAAAATTAAAAAAAAAATACTGAGATTTAGGGCTACGCGGAACCTTAGTGATCATCTAGTGAATCTTTCTGAGGCCCAGAGAGGGTGAGTAACTCGCCCCAGCTCACACAGCAAGTCTGTGAGCGGCAGAAGTAGGGCTAAGTCCAGGCATTCAGCACACGCCCCGAGGTGCCCCCTCTCCTGATGCTTCCTCGGCCCCTGGGGCGTTCAGAAAATGGAGGTGTCTTCCCCGACCCTCTCTCTAGATCGGTCCCTGAGGGCTCTTGTAGATTCTGTGTACTCCATGCCTGTGTTTGTCTACGTACACGCACGTGAACACGAAGATGTGCGCGTGCCCGGCTCCAGCTCTGCACACCGGCTGCCTCCACCCCGGCACCTGCCTCTCAAGCGGGGGCCCTGGCTCTGCTTCTGTGCCCGCACCCGGCCCTGGCCTGAACCCTCCGAGAGGACGTGGCCAGGACAGGTGTGTGACCTGGTCCCACCCAGTGACGCCCCTGCTGCCCCACATCTCTGTGACCGCTACCAAATAAAGTGGGTTTGTTTCTAAGCTGTGTCCTTGACTGTATTTGCTGTATTTCTGAGAGGAGGTATGTCTCTTCCTCCAACCAGAGCTGGCCGTTTCCTCCCTCAAATACACCTGTCCGCTGCCCTTGCCCAGGTGGCAGCATTGAACCAGTCTTCAAGTTTAAATATGTGTGGGAGGGGCCCCCCAGGACAAGAAGTTGTGTACCTCTCTTGGCCCTGCCTTTCTGGATCTTCTGGGGGGGGTGTATGCTGAGCTGTCGGTGTCCCTTGAGAGGGGCGGCCGGGTCGGACAAAAGACACCCCCGCCCCATGGGTCATCGCCCCTGGGCACCACTGTATGTCTAGATTCTGTGTGGCTCCTCTCAAACAGTGATTTTGCTCCAGGGAACATTTGGCATTATCTGGAGACGTTTCTTTTAAGTGTATTTATTTATTTTGAGAGAGAGAGAGAGCGAGTGAGCAGAGGAGGGGCAGAGATAGAGGGAGAGAGAGAATCCCAAGCAGGCTCTGCACTGCCAGGGCAGAGCCTGATGCAGGGCTCGAACTCTCGATCCGTGAGATCATGATCTGAGCAGAACTCGAGTCGGTCACTGGCTGAGCCACCCAGGCACCCCTGGAGGCATTTTTGAATCTCCAAGACTTGGGTGGAGGGCACTAGTAGCTTCTAGTGGGTAGAGGCCAGGGTTGCTGCTGAACACCCTCATGCCCAGGTCAGCACCATGCCCCTTCCCCCCCCCCCAATAATAAAGACTTCTCTTGCCCCAAATGTCAGAAGTGAGAAGCCTCAGTCGGGACGGTTGGACATGGCCCGGGTCTGTATGGTTGATGTGTTGTACAACTTTCTGGACAGTATTTAATAGACACCGGGCAAGCAGAGAGAGCCCTCGTGTGAGATGAGGCAGGTTGTGGGTGGGGACGGGGGTTGAGGGAGAGGGAACAAGGTCTGGTCCCTGTGCCACCCTGAACCTGCCACCTTAGATCTGATTTTCCCAGGGTGGAGGGAACAGGAGGGGCCCAGCCTCACACCCGTCATGCCTCATGCCACCCTCACGCCTTCCAGCCCCATGAGAAACACCTCCCGTTTACCCGATTGTCCCCATCTTGTCCAAGATGGCCCAGCTGGTGGTCTGGCAGGTGGGGGATTCGAAACCAGAGGTCACCTTAGCTTCATGAGGGTGGGGAACAGATTTTGCCTCTGGGAGATGGAGGTAGTCTGTGCTTTTGATTGACCAGGAGAAGATGTCACCGAGCGTGTAGGTGACGGGGCTCATGGTTCAGAGGGAGAGATCTCTGTGCGGACATTCACAGAGCAAGGTGACCTTGGCTACGGCTGAAGCAAAGCCAGGTGGACCTGTCGTGTGGAGGAGCAGGAGGGGAGCTCCCCCCTCTGCCTACCTGGGAGCCCAGCCCCCCTCCCATCCCGCACTGGGCAGAGAGGGTAAGTGTGGGAGGCAAATCACTTTGCCACTTGCCGAGTCCTGTCTCTGTAGACGAGACCTAGAGGCCAACACTATCTCCTACATCCCAGGCCAGTGCTGGATGGTAAGAGCTGGGGGAGGTGGGCAGCTGGGCACAGAAAGCAAGCCTTCCCCCAGGCCGGGGAGGGGGGTTGGCTAAAGCCTGGACCACCTCTCCTACTCTCCCCCTCCACTGGGGACTGTGAATAAGTCCCGTCCTTTCCCCTGCTTCGGTTTCCTCATCTCTAAATGGGAGGTGGGGTCGGGCAGTTGGACGAGACGACGCACGAACAGCCCCTTGTAACCCTATGTTCTCTGCAAGAAGGAATTAATATTTCTCTTACTTAATCATTGCTCATTGCTAAACAGAACACACTTGCTCCAGCCCGGGGTCCAGCCCGCTCCTGGCTCGCCCTGGGATGGGGTTAACGAGCACCGGGCTGGCTGCCGCAGAGGAGACTTGCCCGACGCGAGAGAGGGAGCGAGGAACGTCCCCCCCAGTGAAACCATTCACAGACAAGCACAGGGCAGCCGGCTTAGCTCCCGACCTCACGAAGGGAGCCCTGGGAATCTGATTTCAGAGAATTCCGTGCTGCAAAACTCTAAGTACTTAGTCCGTTCTGCCTCCCTGAACCTGTCACTTACTCATAAGAAAAACTTCAGGCTGGGTCACGGCCTGGTGGGGCTGCCAGAAAACCAGCTGGGGCTCGGCAGTAAAGGCGGCTGGGAACGGGGGTAGGGAAAGAGGGCTGGCCTTTGCTGAAGACCTACTGTGTACTGAGCGCTGAGTCTGTTACCTGCATCCTCTTACTGGATCCTCATGGCAAAGCTATGTGGGAGGATTATGACTCCCTTTTTACATACCAGGGCACTGAGGCTCAGAGAGGCAAAGCCACTTGCCCGAGGTTGCACAGCTGTGTGGGGCAGAGCTGAGCTAGAACCCACGTCTGGTCGCAAAGCATGTTTTCTCCCCAGAGTTTTCATCACTGGGTTGGCAGAGGGGCTCCTCTACGGAAGGAGAGAGGCTGGAGGGTTGAGGTCTGACGTCTGAACATAGCTCAGCAGCCTTGAGCAGATGTTATTCACGAGGAGTAAGATGCTCGGAGGCCCTGTGCAAAAGCCACTGTAATAGACGAGCTTGACTTCTGTTTTATGGAAAAGTCCACCAGAGCCAGAGGGTGGCTCTGCTCCACGGGTCATTCGGGCATTGAGGTTTCAGGCCGCCCCGTCTCTAGGACCTTGTCACCATCCGCAAGGTCAAAGCCCCCGCCACGGTCAGGTTCAGCCAGAAGGGTAGGGGAAGAGACTGCAGAGGACGCACGGCTGAGACTTTCGGGCCGTGGCTGCCCCCCTCCCTCTCCCTTCCCCTGGCCACACACACCTGTGAGAAGGGCTGGGACATGCACTTCCTTGCCAGGGGGCCCCACATCCGGTGGCAACTCCTCACGGAGACATGGGAGACGCGATCTGTCTGACCAGCCAACGGGCCCCCCAGCGCCCTCTCACATAGGGTCCAGGCCTCGGGACAGCCCGTGCGACCCAACTTCGCTCAGGAAGCAGGTTAATCCCCCCTGCTTCCTTAAAGCCGACCTGGGCTTTACTCTCCCCTGTCCCTCGATGAAAACGTGGGGCCCGAGATGCTTCTCAACTACACCAAAGGCACTTCCAGCAGCAAATACAGTCTCGGTCAAAAATCCGTGGTCCCCGCGATGATGGACATTTCAGTCTCTGGTCAAAGGAAAGACCCTCCCTCCAAGCCCTAGCGGCGGTCTGCTCACACCCAAAGGTAGGAACTGAGGAAGGCACGGATGGGCATGTTCTCCGGTGCTCACTCTCTGGCTTCCCTTTTAGCCAATTCTGGCTTCTCTCTCTCCTCGGTCCTTGGGAGGTGGGTCTGGTAGGTGTTGGGGGAGAAGGTCAGGGGAGCAGGGAGGCTCTTATTTGCCTGGCACTGTGGCATTGCGGTAAGACAGCGTCACGCTCGGAGCATGGGAGATGTTTAACAGTGACACTAAAATCGCAGGCATAATTTCGTAGATTTTTCCGAGATCATCTTGCCATCCCTGGCAATGGCTCACCTGTGGGCATCTTTATTTGGATTCCTTGCTAGGTCCTTCTGCAGCCTCTTGGAATGTTCTTTTCCCCCTTTCCTTCCCCTTCCTTTCCCCTTCCCCTCCCCATTCCTTCCCCTTCCCTGTTTACTTATTTATTTTGAAACAGACAGCAGGTACAAGTCGGGGAGGGACAGAGAGAGGGAGACAGGGTCCCAAACAGGCTTCGCACAGTCAGCACGGAGCCTGATTTGAGTCTCAAACCCACAAACCCACATACCAGGGGATCATGACCTGAGCCAAACCCATTGAGCCACCCAGGCACCCCGCCTCTAGGAATGTTCTAATACCTGCTGGTTTCGCGCTGAGGCCTCCAGCCTCCAGGATGCAATCTTGGTCAGGGCTTCCTCTTGTGGTTTTCCTGCATCTGGTCTGTATGAAACTCACATCCTTTGCCCCAGTCAGTGTGAAGCATATAAGCTGATTGGGGCTCAGTAAGGATCTTTGGCATCTAACCTAGATGGCCTACCCCCCGTTGGATTTACCAGGCAGAGGACACACAGTGGTCCGCAGAGCCGACAGCTACTAGGCTGGAAGTGAGGGACAGACACTCCCACAGCACGCTGCAGCGCTCTCCCAAAAGTCCCTTTCCCACAAAACCTTCTCACAATAGACTCTTTCATATCTTTGACATAGGTAAGAAGTATGAGAGTCAAGGTGCTGGTTCTTAGCCATATATGTGGAAATGTGTGCCTTTGGTTTGGCACCTGGCTTTGGAATTTGAGGTCAGTCTTGAGTCTCAGCAAAAAGGTGAGCTCCCTGTGTGCTCCCGCG